GCTTCAGCCCACTTAGGGGAATCTTTGCAGGAAACAGCTTCTTCATAAGAAGCTGGTTCAGTATCAAACAAATAAGGTTCAGATTGTTCAGACACAAAATCAGCATACTACTTAGAAGGAAGTCTTATTTCCCTCATTTCTCTATCTCTGGCAAGCTGGTATCCCTGCAGGTCATTTGCAGCTCCAAATGCAGCTCATCCTCAATAACATCAACATCAGAAACATTTTCTGTTTCTATTGTATGAGGCTCCACCTCAAATTGAATCTGATCATTTTCAGCTTCCTTATCCAGATTTATTTCAGTGATTATAAACTCATCTTCCCAAATCTTTTCTCCAGATTTGTCACCAAGACAAGGAAACACATTTTCATTAAAGATCATAGATCTACTAGTAATCACCTTATAACCTCTCACATCCCTTAACCACAATCTATAACCCTTAACTCCTTCTCCATAACCTAGAAAAACACCCTTCAAAGATCTAGGGTTCAGTTTAGAGTTTGTGTGATGTGCATATGCTGCACATCCAAAAGTTCTGAGATAGGAGTAGTCGGTAATGTGCCAGACCATATATGTTCAGGAATTCTGTTGTTCAGAGAGTTGGAGGGACACCTTTTTATGAGATAACAAGCTGTTTTTACAGCTTCTTCCCAGAAAATTTTTGGAAGACCAGAACTGATTAACATGCATCTAGTTCTCTCAAGAATGGTTCTATTTAAGCTCTCAGCAACTCCATTTTGCTGAGGAGTATAGATAACTGTTTTATGTCTCAGTATACCTTGTTTAGAACAGTATTCATCAAAATCTGAGTTGCAAAATTCAAGTTCATTGTCAGTTCTTAAAATTTTTATCTTCTTATTAGTTTGATTTTCAATTAGTAAATTCCATTCTTTGAAAAATGAAAACATATCAGATTTAGATTTTAGTAAGAAAATCCATGTTTTCCTTGAAAAATCATCAGTAATAAGAAGATAATATCTGAAACCAGATACAGTTGATACTGGGGCAGGTCCCCATAAATCAGAGTGTATGTATTCAAGGATATCTTGGGATTTGTGCAGTCCTACCTTGAAAGGCAGTCTGAACTATTTTCCCATTATGCAGTGTTCACATAAAGTTAATTTTTGAACACTATCCTTTCCAAATACCCCTTGGCTTGACAAGTTTTTAAGTCCTTTTTCACTCAAATGGCCAAGCCTTTTATTCCATAATGCTGATTTATCGGGATGTGTGACAAAGTTCACAGAATTATTAGGAGAAGTGTTTTCAGCCCCTATTACATAAATTCCATTGAATTTAGATAAACTGACAATAAGATCTTCATTTCTAATTATATAAGTAAAACCATTCTTAATCTTAATTTGATATCTCTCATCATCAAGAACTCCTAGGGATATGAGGTTCCTTCTTAAAACAAGAACATATATGGTGTTTTTCAACAGTAGGTGATGTCTATTTTTGAATTTTAGCAACACATTGCCAATTCCTTTAACAAGACACACCTCATCATTCCCAAGTTTAACTGATCCTTCACTAAGGTTAGAATAATCAGATAGACAGTCAATATTGGGTGTCATATGGAAAGAACAACCTGAATCTAAGACCCAGTCATGTTCAGAATTTTCAGTTAAAGACACATAGGCAATCCTAATATTCACCCCTGCTTCTTTATAATTGGAAGTGGTGGCAATAGAAACATCTTCTGTATTGGACCCATTCTTTTGGTCATTGGCCTTTTTAAAACAGTTTTTAATAAAGTGCCCAGTTCTACTATAGTAGAAACATTTCTTGTTATTGTCCTTTCCTTTATCTGGTTTCTTGTTCTTACCTTTGGTATTATTCCATTTTCTTCTGAATTTTTTTTTTATCCCTGTTGAAATTGGAATGACTGAAATTACTCACACACTTAGTATATGATTTCTGATTTCTTCCCATACCCTCAACATGGAACACTTCTTTGTGTTCAGATTTCAAACCCAGTTCTCTGGACAGAAGGGAATTATGAATTATATTAACAGTAAGATCACTCCTTCCATATTCTAAGGCATTTCTAATATTTTTATATTTATCTCCCAGAGCATTGAGAAGACCTACAACTTTCTGATCATCAGATATCTTCTCCCCACAGTTTGTCAAGTCTTGAGTGATCCTATTGAATCTATCCATATTCTCTTCAATGTCAAGACTAGAATCAAACTTAAAACCAAAGAATAGTCTCCAGAGAAAACATTTATTTGATAGGGACTTGTTGAGGTACTGTTTTTCTAAGGCAGTCCAAAGTTCTACAGCAGTTTTGGTTTCTCATACGTTCTTAATCACAGAATCAGATAAGTGCAGAAACATAGTGCTCCAGGCCAATTCATCCTGTTCAGTTTTCCTATCTTGAGAAAAGGTTGCTGCCCAAGATTCATCAATGGCCTTTGCACATTTTAACTGTAACATAAGAGCCTTAATTTTCTGGCGCCAGAGACTAAAGTCTCCTTTGCCATCCTAAGTTTGAAAATCTACCTTAAAAGTCATGGTGAACAGTAATGTGATCAGTGTACAGATATAATATATCCAAGAATAATCACAGCAGACAGAATCAGATATGCAGGTTTTTCAAGACAGATATATGAAAGAATGATTAATCAAATCAGTCAACAAAATTGGTATAGTTATTCAGATATGCTCTCACACAGTAAGCTGCAGGGTATTAAAAGAATGTACCTTCAGCAAAGAACAATTTCAAGACAAACAATAATGTCAACCCACGGAATTGACCAATTCAAAAAATATCAGTACTTATCATCAGTATATATATATATGTATACAATAGGAGAAAAAAAAAAGTTAAAGGAATCTTGGTATATCTCTGTATTTCTAGCTACCCCCAAAAAATTTTAAAAAACAGGGTTTCTTGAATTGAAGCCCTAGTCCCCTCAGATTCTAGGGTTCTCTCAGGGGTCCCTAGACAAAGTTAGAGATGGATAGGGGAAGTTCACAGAAACCCTCGGGTTTTTAAAAAAAGATGTTTTACCAGAACCTTTTAACCCCCCAAAAAATTGCAGTTTGTGTATACTCATATAAGAGTGAATCAGCACCAAGAAACCAGCACGAGTTTAAAGAAACCCGAAATTTTTTCAAAAAACAAGAAAAACTCAAGAACAGGTTTACACAGATCTGAAAGAACAAATTCCTTTTTAAAAATAGAATATCTATTCAAATCGAAACAAGCTATCCCAGGCTCTGATACCACTATTGGTCCCAAACGAGTTTGTATAAAAACGATTTGTAACAAAATCACAAGAAAACCAAAGCAGAATATCAAGAATCTCAACACAAGGAATTTTTCGGCCTTAGGCCCTGAGGTTCAGCGACCTTTCAGACGCTTACATTCCCGTTGGCATCCGTTTAAGGATTAAGATCAAAAATCCACTAAATCGCCCAAAAATGGCAGAAAAATAGAGTTTACAGTACACGACTCAAAACATCAATGAATCACTCAAAACAACTACTCCCAAACTCATGATCTCACACAAGAGATCATAAATCCACTCACTATCTCTAAAATCACATAAGAAATATAAAGATCTATTTTTACAGAGAGAGAGAATCAAAAGTCGAATAATAGAGAGAGAAAGTTGCGCCCTAAAACACTGAATCATTGAACCCTAAAGAACCAAACTAGCATTTATACTCGTTCCAGAAGCTTCAGTCAGTTGGACCGTCTTTTGGGCCAGACCAGCTGCTTATTAAACGGGCCTCAAAATAAAACAGCAAACAACTAACAACATCAAATGGGGTCTGCTACAGTGAACTTGACTTTTGATGAAAAGAAATTGTGTGCACAATTACATGTTTGCCCTCCTCTCATCTTTTGAATTTGAAACTGTTGACAATCATAATATATACATTTGAAAAAGTGAAAAATGAACAATTTTTTGAAATGGGCAGGTACATTGACGTGTACGAATGGAATTTTATTAACGTCTATATATATATATATATATATAT